TTTCTTTCTTTCTTTATCTTTCATGCGTTCTTTCTTTCTTTCTTTCTTTCTTTCTTTCTTTCCTTCTGTCTTTTGTTCCTTCTTTCTTTCTGTCGTTCTGCTGTTTCTGTCTTTCTGGCTTTCTGTCAGTCTCTCGGGATACCCACGTGGCTTTTTTGATGTCAATTTAGTTCTTTTTTGATGTCTATTTAGTTTTTTTTAACCCCTCTCCCGATTCGGGACTCACATTGGGGTGCGCTCCAACTGCGGCTGTGGCACGCTCCAGGTGCTTTCGAACAAAGTCCTCTCCGCGGAAGTGCCTGAACAAACTATATCAACACACAAACGCCCTCTGAGGCCCCTCGGAGACAACAGTGTTTATTAATACAGACCAGTCAGACTATGGAGACTAATTCTGGCTCACGACGAGAAGCTTGCCGCACAACTTGCACTTGAACTTCTCATCCGTGACCTTCAGAATCGCCTTCTCCCTTTCCTGCTTCACCAAAGCTTTCCAAGCACTCCGCCGGCACCGGAAGGCATGCAAAGGACGAAGCAAAACACATACACAACACGGCCTCGGCCAGGCTCTGCACCACGTGCTCATTGGAGTAGTCAGGGGCAGCTGCAGGCTTGTCGAAGGACCTGCATGAGGGCAGGGAATGTAGTTACGAGCGGGCCGGTGCTGTTGACACACTTCTTGGCAGGCAAGCTGCACGCTGCCCAGGAAGCTTTCCAGTCGCTGCTCATGAGCCGCGGACCACTCGCCCGCCGTGCACTCCGGCTGTGCCGGCGCACGCAAGGTGGCGATGCCGCAGGCGTCCCGCAAGAACCACTCGTCATCACACCAGCGCGCGGCGTAGAAGCAGAAGTGGTGCACGCGACGCAGGTAGGTGACGCGAAGGTCCAGTTTGAATTCGGTGGTACCATATGCATTCAGCACCAGGGCCGTGATTTCTTCGGGCACTTCTGTGAGGCCGTCCAGGCGCTGGATTACCTGCTCGGAGAGAGCCAAGTCCTTGAGAAGCCGCTCCGGAAGTGACATCTCCTTTGTGCCCCAATCGCGGCAGTCCAAACGGAGACTTGAGCTACAGTACGTAGAAGACACAGCTTTTCCCATGCGTCCTGCGGCAGCACCAGCGCCGCCAAGCCAGGCTTGGGGCTCAGAACGGAAGCACGGCCCGTCCCTTCGCTTCCTGGCAGCTGCTTTGATTCAAATCTGCGGCGCAGTCCATGGTCCCTGTGACACAGTGTTGCCTGGTCTGCTGAGCAGGGTCTCTGCGCTCCGCATGAGCACAACGGCTGCCGCGGTGGCATCCGCGGCTGAAGTGAACCTTTCCGAGGCCACACGACTCCAGTTCCAACACCATGCCAAGACATGCGGCACCCCCTGAATCCCTACCTGGCAAAGAAGTCTCGGGCCAGGTCCTTTCCTTCGAAACTCGTCCAGGCAGCAGTGCAAAACCCCGGGCGATCCTGCCAGAGGTTCCAGGCATCCCGTGCATCGACCAGCATGATGCAGAACTGCACATGTCGGCTCCTGAATCACATCCAGGACATCCCATACACTCACTGCCGGTGGGAGGCTACCTCGGAGGGCAGCCAAACGGAAACTCGAATTCCACGCCAGGAACTGACAGGGACATCTTCGGTATGCAACCATCTGGTCCTGCCCTTGCCGAGCTGCGAATCACCAAGGATCCCACATCCGGGTCGAAGGCAAATTCGGGCGCTTGCAGATGCCCGGCTACGGGGCAGGTGGCTCCACGTCGCACCTTGCCTGTTCGTAGGGACAGCTCACGGTACCTGCGCAGGAAACTCGTGAGTTAAAAGAGGCATGTATATTGCAGTATAGTACATTACATATATTACAGTATATCATTTTGATGTATTGTAGTCCTGTCAATACATTGCAGCATATTCCAATGATATCACATGAGACCAGGCCTTCCATCTCGCAGGTCCTGTCATGGGAAGCACTAAGTCACTAAGCAGGACGGCTGGGTTTGCTGCACTTCCCGCTTTGTTGACAGCCAACCCCAGAAGCAGGAACTCACTGACCCGGTCCTGAGCAAAGGTTGCGGCATTCAACTGCGTCGTGCCAAGACGTAGTTCATATCGCCGGAGCCGAGAGAGAGGATGATACAGGTCGAAGAAGAGCCCTGTCTGCTTGATTGCCTGCAGCTCTTCCTTCAGCCTTTCGTGAATGTACTGCTGGAACCTGTTCATGACAAAATCTGGAGAGTCCTCGTTGGACGCATGCTTTAGCACAAAGTCCCGGAAACTGGGCTCCTTCGCCTTCGCCTTCAGCTCTGCGTCCTTTGCATGCACTGCCTCTGTAGCGGACGGAGCCGACGGGGCCGGGGTGAGGCGCCGTGGCGCCGGCTGCTTCTGAGAAGGGGAGCGGCTCGCGAAGCGAGGATTGTGCGATGGACTTCGCCGGCAAGGAGAGCTCGGGGACCGGCGTCGGCAAGGAGTCTTGCTTCGGCGCCGGAACGTACAAGGAAAGCTCTTGCCGCCCCTACCACTTTTCCCGCTTTTCCCGCTTTTCCCAGTCTTGCCGATGCCCTGGCCGAAATGTCTGCATGATGGATCAAGCTTGTGGCTAGACATGAATCTGAAGCTCTGCACTTTTGTGTGAAAGCCTCGCCTTACTGGCACCACTGCCAGGCTTCTCATCAATTTCCCGACCGTCTGGATGCTTGAACCTGATCGCACACACATCTGCGCAGCTCCGGCTCCGACCCCTCTTAGTCCTCAAACCTTCGCCCGTGCTACCAAGGCCAGAGCCAGCAGGTGAAGCGTGTGCAGGCACGCCCGTGCCAGCAGTTGATGGTATGGCGGTTTGAAATTCCCGCACCTGTCATGTTGATGTGCACTTGGCATCCCGGATTCTGTCCCTCGTCTGGCCGCAGTTTGCTGCTGGACCTCTGTAGATTCTAGCTCTCGACTGGTCTCAGCTCACACCTTGCCCACCAGCCCATGCAGCCTGGTCGACTGCGCTCGAACCGCCGGGACCGAGAGCGCCGGGAGGTTCGGGATCGCTGCGAAGGGGAGCGCTCGGGGCTTGAGCGGGGCTCGCTGACCTAGGCTGTTGCCCAAGCAAACTCCTGCGTTGGCGTTGCAACATGGCAGCACATTGACATGGCAACACCGCTATGCAGGACGTCACTATGGCGACGGAAGCACAAAGCAGGAAAACGAGTACTTCTGCCGGCAGTCAGCGGCAGCCGTTGGAGAGCCCTTGCTGCTGGCGATTTCTGTCGAGGTGTCGGAATCGTTTGCCTCGGCCTCCAGGGATCATCCGACTTGTCTGGGCTTCAAGAGACTGCCAGGGGTCCAGAGCAACTCATCAGCAGGATTTTCTGATGCAGGGTGTACGGGGCCTCCTCCTACCTAATTGTCTCTTCGTGAGTTCCAGGATGGAGAAGGGTGGGGGGGGGGAGGGGAGGGAGCCTCCTTGGTTTGGTTTTCGTCCATGGCCGAGTGCCCGGAGGGAGAGGGCGACATGGCAATAGGAGAGACAAGAGCAGGGTTCGAGACTTGGCGGCTGCGGCTGGCGCAGGTTGCGAGAACTCTCGATCTCACTTCTGCAACATCTTTTCCAGGAAAGGAGTGAATACAGAGAAGCATCAGTAGGGAGCGATCGCGACAGGCAGCAGCTCCGAAAGGGATCTTAAAACCCGAATAGAACCCCTTCCAGAACCCAAAAGGAAAGACCCTAACAAGGAGGCCCTATAGCCCGGCTCCTTCAAGAGGCTCCCTCTTTAAACGGGCCCCTTCAAAAGGCTCCTTCAAAAGACCCCTTTAAGATCCTTTAAGGCTCTAAGGGCTCCTTTAAAGGGAGCCCCAAGAGCCCCCGAGGCCCGGACCAGAGGGGATCCTCGAGGCTCGCGAGGCTCCCGACCTGGCGAGCTCGCAGGCGCTGGATCAGCGCCAGGGCCTGTCAACTGGAGCATGCATTTAGGGTGGAGGCGGGGGGCGGGGGGGGGGGTTAGGTTTGGGGTGGGGTTTGAAGGTCTAAGGCTTCGGGGTGTAGGGTCTTAGAGATTTAGGGGTTTTGGGCTACAGGTGTTTTGGGTTTAAGCTCAGGACCATTAACTTACATTCGGTTTTGCAAGTAGAGATGAGTGTTGCGTTTGTGGGGTGTGCAGGGCCCAAGCCTGACACCCCTGCTGAGACCCTGCAGCCCTGCACCTTCAAGGGAAGGGACGGAGTTCCGGTTCATTCCGGTTCCACAGCCTACAAGCTGTCCTTGTGAGATGGAATCCTAAGGTGCAGACTAGCTCAGATAGTGTGGGTGACTCACGCCCGAGAATACGTTGGCGGTAAAGATTCTGCTCTGTTTGGACCGAGTCAGAGAAAATGTGCAGAAGGCGAACCAGAATAACAAGCCATTCATCAAACCCTAAACCCTGAGAGTGAGCTCTTCAACCCCAAAGCCTAATAGCGGCTGCGCCTGCTGACGCTCGCGGGAGGTCTCCGGCATGTCTGAGCCTGGGGTCGGAATTCAATCTTTCCGCAAAGTCAGCCCCATATTTTCGCAAAAGAAATGAGCTCAACGAACATGACAAGTTGTTCTGCTCGCGCCGCAAAGATGCCCCTTTAACTGTACAAATGACGGCAGGCGACAGCTTCAACATCCCATGAGGAATCTGTCGGCCGGCAAGGCAAAGTCGAAAAGTGCACTTCGTGCAGATTTCAATTAACGACGGGTTCCGTCGTTGACCCGGCCGAGTCGTTGTGAGCCTGATCGGCTACGCATGGAGGCTTTGGGTTCGGCACCATGGCCTCTTTCAGCAGTTCTCGCATTTCGATCTGCTTATCCCGCCTGTCTTGTGAAATCCGACGCAACATGCTCAGTGGTGTGTAGCCCAAGTCGTCACAGCGCCATGGGTCAGCCCGTGCGCTCAGAAGTAAGCTTGTGACATTCAGGTCTCCAGCCACGGACGCGACATGCAAAGCATTGAAAGACCTGACATCACCGATGGGATGATGAGGGTCGGCCCTGGCCTCCAGAAGAAGTCGGACCATCTCTATCTTCTTGAATGCGCATGCTTGCACAAGAGGCGGAAAGCGCCAAGCCGGGTTTGGCTCTTGCGGCCGGTTCAGCATCTTTTCAACTGCCAAGACATTGCCTTGGCCTATGGCGAAGGCCATCTCTCCCTCTGTACAAGCATCCGAAACAGTGGACATCAGGATCAGCTGGACCTCGCCTAAGTCGGCCAGGGAAGCATCGTCCTCCAACACAACCCCGTTGTGCAGCAACTTCTGCCGGAACCGCGGAACTCCACAAAGACCTTCTAGATGCCTTTTCAGAGTCTTGACGTCCTCAAAATCCTGGACGAGGACGGTGGCAACCACGTCTCCGGAAAGCCCGGACTGAATGCTCAGACTGCCGGTGGAAGCATCGGGCTCTGAGACCACATTGCCCATGGCTGCTTTACAGCGGCCAAGCCAAAACAGCGCAGCGCAGCAGTGCTTTGCCTGCTGGCCCAAAGTTCAGAATAGGGGTCTTAATATTTAGAATAGGGTCTCAGGACCTTTGCTATAGTCTATAGTATAGATTATGGGAAGGAACCCTAAGGAGTAGTTATTCAAGCTCTGCGAGTTTCCTGTCTTTGTTATGTTAGAGGTGCCATCCGAGGGCTTCTTCAGCCAAATCCAGGAAGTCGCAGGTGTGCTGTAAGGCTTGTTATAGTCCGGATTTTGAAGTGCCTTGGGTTTAGTCACTTTAGGATTGGGGTTCCGGATACAAGGGCTTAGGGGCACAGCCTGAGACTGGCTGGTAAACTCTGTGACAGGCCCCCGCTGCGGCTCTCGTCGCCCCTCAGCGAGGACTCGAGGGTGTGAACCTGTCAACTTCGGGAACGGATGAGAGCCAAGATCACGAATCACAAGGTCGACGATGCTGTCATCACTGCCCGAATCAACCGGATGGCCCGACAGACGTAGACAGCTACCGCAGGAAACTCAACTTCCCATACCCTATCAGCACCTTCTTTTCCAGAAGCTCTTGCTCCTTGCGGATCATTGGCTCTGGCTTGGTACAACTAGTCGGATTTCCCCGCAAGCACGACAAACGTCAACACTCCTGCTCGCTTGCCGACAGCGCCGCGGCAAGCCGTCTTGAGCTAGTGGCTTCCTGGCAGAAGTCATGGGACTCAGTCGCAGATTGCCCATGCGTGGCAAGCCTGGCAAAGCGCTTTATGGAAGTGCTAGGTACAAGACGAGGGGCAGAACAGTGAAACAGGAACAGCAGCAGCCCTTAACTTGCCGCCTCCGTCAGCTCTTGGCGACAACTTAGCAGCCTCGTCCAGGTGTGACTGAGCCGGATCGATGAGTAAACGAAGAACTAACTAAATAAGTACGATCTATGCATGCATGTATGTATGTATATATACATGTATGTATGTA